AATATAATGGAAAAAATATATTAATTAGTATCTCAACTACTTAAAAAGCACTAAATAAATATGAATTTGACTTGTAAAAATTATTTATATTGGCATCATTCACATAACTCTATTACCAACGTTCTTAAAAAACATTCATTATCAAACGAAAATGAGACATTATTCTTTAAATGAAGATAGAAACAAAACAAAATTTATAATAAAAAATTTAGATATTCAATTACGTACTTTCAATATTTATACAAACATTGTCAGATTTATTTAAAATTGAGTTCTTTTTTAAATATAGTTAACCTTTTTAATAAATTTTGATGACTCATTGATCTAGCATGTGTCTTATGGGACATGAAATATAAAATGTTTATTATTATTATAGCCAAATTATTTTATATCTGTCTAATTTTTATATGTATTATCATATTATTTTTTTATCTTTCTTTTGAATTGAACAATAATTTCATCATATTCGAATAGTAATGTATTACGTACCATTAAATTTACTGTTGTAATTCAAGTGTAGGAAAATATTTTCTTATACGAATCAGGAACTACGACGATGCTTATAAAGGAAATCATGTAAGATCAATTGTTATTAATTATTAGTAAATCGACCTAGCATTATCTTCCTTTATCATAAGAATAAGAAAGCATTACGATTTAAATAACAAGCTTTTAGTATCTTAGCAACTTCTTTTCAAGTTACCAAAATCTCATAATCTATATCAACACGTAAGCATTATAAAAGTCTCATTGCTCGAGTGAATGTCCATATTTTAATCCAATATTAGTTGGATCCATATTTTAGTTCATATTTCATGTATAATAATTAATGTGAAATGCATCGATATTGCGCATAGTTTCTTCGATAAATCTTTTCATAAGACTGAGTTAACCTAACTGTTAACATGAACAAACTGAGTTAACATAACTGAGATAAGTTAACCTTAAACCAAGTTCACTTCCCATAAAAATAATTATGACAAGAGATATTATCATTACATACGACTAAGAAATTATATAGAATAATGGTGTTCTTCGTTAACTTGTCTGTTAACTCCAAATCATATGAAAAAGATATCATCCGGGATTTCTTACTAAAGACTACCAAAAATCTATGGCTTCTGATATGGCTGGTTGAATAGTGTGGGCGAGGTCAGAAGGAAAACTGAAAGAGCAGCAGGTAGTGGGTGGATAAGGCAAAGAGAGAAAAAGTCGAAGGAGGTGTCGAGAGGCAAGTTTTAGTATTTTTAATAGGCAAAAGGAAATGACAAAGTCCTGCTCAACCGGAGTACCGCACGTGAAATTGGCGCGTGAATTTTTGTTATGCAACAATGCTCATTGAAAAAAGAGGCTTTCTTCATGCCAGTAATTTTTTGAAAAACACATTCTTTATTCGAGCTTAGAGAGAACTTCTAACGATATTGCCGATCTTTCATTCAGGAAGACTTCCGTATTTATTCTCAAATTACTATTTCCTATTATAGAAATTTATTAAAATATCTTGGAACAATTATTTGCTCATTAAAATGCTTATAAATGTAATTTTTATACAAAAATACTGCTCATTCGATAATAGTTAATAATAAATTGGTTCTATTTGCCAGTGAATATTTAGGATACAAAACATTTATGGATTGTGTATTAATTTAACGTAATTCAAAATTATATTAAAAATGTATTATTTATTCTTTCTATTTTTTGTGAGATTTATATATATACAAACATTGAAGATCTATACATTGAGCAAATAATATTTACATTATAATATGTTGTACTTTAATAATTTTCAAGTAATTAAATAAAAATAATAATTTTAATTCAAATTCATAAAATATATTTTTTTCTATGGATTAATATAAATTGAAAGTTTTAAATTATTCATTGATAATCACATGTAAATGATAATATTACTTTCATATTCTAAATCACATCTAGATATTGTTAATCTAAATTTTACAAAAATTTTGGTCGTATATGTAATAAATTAACTTACGATCTACCGATGGTATATTTCAATCACACTAAAAAATCACTCGTAAAAATAATATTTTAAAATAATTCTATCTTCATTATTAGTTATTATTCACATATTGGTTATTAAATACTTAAAATAACAGATCGATTTTTAATCGATAATAATAAATTATGTTGTTCAAGATCATTTCTGCTTCTTAAATAGTGTGCAAAGTTATTAATATACAAATTAAAAAAGAAAGGGTGCGGTGCTATTTCACGTGCATTACGGTTCTGCTTTTTAAAAATTTTTTCCTTTTTATTCTTTCGATGCTGCAATGAACTTCCATGTACACAGTCTACGAGCCGCTGACATGCGACAGGCCTCTCTTCTTTCTATTTCTTCATCTCTTTAATAATTATGCTTTTGTATCAATGAGTGTGTATATATGTGTGAAAGGGGCATCTACGATCTGCAACTATGTATACTAACATGCGAAATATGTACAGATATACACATATATATGTATGCACACGCTCTATAATAATAGCACGATAATTATAGTTATTAATTTTTTTAAACTTCGAACTTTATCTTAGATAATACGACACTTAATCAAATGAATACAAAATATATTATGTAGTAAAAATAAAATATATATTAAGATGTAGGTCAATCAATTAATTAATTAATTTAAATTAATAAATTCTTTAATTCAAATAGATATGAATTATTTTAATATCTCCCCATGCGATTTTCTGATGGAGTACTAAAAAATATAATATCGATATAAGAGTATTCAATATACAATTATTTTGTGAATATGTATATTCGATGTACTTATTAATACTAATTAAGAAACTATTTACTAACTGATTTTCAAATATCATCTTATGTATTTATTGGCTGAAATTAAAAAACTTATAATAGAAAAATAATTACTTCAAAATTGTTAAAAAAACATTTAATTAGTCAGTCATTAAAGATTATGAAGCTCTGCATAATTATTAAAAAAATTTCTATATCAATATAGAAAATTAAGTAATAACGAAAATAATAACTTAAATTCCTCAAAGTATCATTATTGCATAAAAAAATCGGTAAATACATAGTTAATACCTATTTCACGATGAAATGCAAATCAAAGATTAATCATCCAAGTTTCAAAAATTTTAAAGATAAAACTAAAATGAATTGCTTATACACAACTACTCGCACAACTTCCCCTAGCCGTACGGATTCACTAATCACCGGTCCATTCTGCGACCGTGTTGTACTTATCCTCCGATCCACTATCCAGGGACGTACATGCACATAGTACATATGGTATTCGCAACAATTAGTGCGAATTCGCGGGTCAATGCTATTTTGTGTGGCGTCCGAATTGTTTCGTCTCGTGTCAAAAGCTGCCACGATGCCACTATGTCGCGAATTCAAACGCGCGGCCTCCGTCTTCCCCCACTGGCTCCGGCTTTTTTTCGGAATTAGTTGCGCGATGTTTAGAAGAGAAGAATTCTATAAATAGGGGAAGCGTCGAAGATCGGTATTGTATGAATGCCGCAATGCAGGGACGATGGACCTCGTTGGCTCAGGATATATGCTTTGAACGTAGCCTAAGGTTTTACCAAGCGGATCTTCTTTTCCCTTTTAATTACCTTTGTAAGGAACATTATAACAAGATCACTAATTGCCAAGAAATAATTTTGTAAGACTGAGAAAAACTAATAATAAATATTGCAAGATTTTTTGGCGATATACTGCAGCAAGTCATAAAATTGTCATAGCAAGCTGAAAAGAATATTACTTCAGATTTGAATTCAAATATATAGAGTAATATTTAGATTGTGATATATTTTTATGTTAATAATATCAGATATTTATCAATTAAAATATTTCTAAATTTAATATTTCTTAATATTTCTTATTATTATTATTATTATTATTATTATATATATAATGTAGCCTTATAAATAATTTAATTATATTAAATTTATTATACTCTAAGTTTTCCTTTCGCATAATTAATATTTATTTGATTTAACGAGAGTTACTTTTGAACGGATATAATAAATATCAAAATAATTCCTTAATAATTTGAAAGAAATAATTACCTAAAGTAAAAGTTTGTATTATATTTTATGATATAGTGCTATTATATATATGTTGTATATATTATATATATATATATATATATATTATATATATAAATAGTATATTAAAATATATTATTATATATAAGTTAAAGTATAATGGTATGTATGATTATTTGTACTAATGTATATCAGTACATTATTTGGTTTACCATGCACATTCTCGATGAAAATTATATTTAAACATTTTATTTTGATATATATAATTTTCGAAATTTAAATGTCATTTGGTTTGCTAGGTTAAAGATTACTTAAAGCAAAATTGAGAATGCCTTTTCTTAACGATAAAAGCCAATTTATTTATACAATTCACATAATAATTACCAAATGTTTTCTTTATTCTTAGATATATAGTCAATATTTATTTATTGAAATTAAAACCTGATAAAATAGCGATGAATAAAGATGAAAGTTTTCATTTTATTTATTTTAACTTAGTGTGAGTACTTTCATTTTCAAACTTTGCTCTAAAGCTTTTTTTATTCTTTCGAATAGAGAGTGAGAAAATGTGAAGTTTAGTTCTTATAAAAAATATAACTGTTTATTATTTCTTATTTTCACGTGTAATAACGAAAGTAATTATTAATCATGATTAACAAAAATGCAAGATTGACAATTATAGTATTAAAGTCACATGAAGTAAAAGGTGAATTAAAATCTAAAGATCTAACAAAGATTAATTATTTTTAATGTTTTTTTATAAATTATAATTAATATAAAATAAATATATTTTAATAATATTTTTCATTATGTTACAAAAATTGTACAGTATTATCATGTGTAAAATACTAAGTATCGTGCATAATAATCTATAGGCATTTAATTTATACCAAAGTTCATAATTATTGTGCTGTAATAGAACTCAATAATTGAAAGGTAAATTGACTTCGACTTACCGATTTTCCATTCTACACTTGCCATCCCTTGTCTTGCAGTTCGTCTTGAAATCATCGTAAAGTTTCACGCAAGGCTTGCCACGCTGACAAACACTCAGTGCCTGATTGCACTTCGATGGAATATGGATCTTTTTCTGAAAATAAAATGAATATAAAAATACTAACGCTTTACGTAGGTCATCCAAACAATATGCACACACTGTTTTACGCATTTTGTAAATTTTGAAAATCAACGAAGCAAATGATTGTAATTATTTTATATTTTAATAAAAATATATTATATATGCGTATAAATACACAACACTCCGTCCTAGACAAATACAGATCTGCACATATCCACAGATAAAAAATCATATACGCACTCGAAGCACGAATATTATCCGATCTTTAAGGTACATGGAGATAACTCACGATGTGTATAATATATCTTATAAAGTAAAAATATACAAATGGAATATATATATATTAATTAATTTCTAAAGGCTGCACAATACGATAAATGAATAATAATATAGTAAATAAATGTACTCGCATAATAATTAGCATTATAATTATTAAACTTTACACTAATTTTATTTTTGTAGCAATCAGTAATATGATTGTCTTCTTTTCTATTCACTGAATATTATTTACTTAAGGACTTATATTCTATTCACCTTCTATATATTTGCTCCATATACTACATGATGACTCGGCTCGATAATCACTGAATCGAAGAGAAGAATAATACGAAACCCTATTAATGTAATTAACGATTGTCGGAGAGGATAAATTAGGGTGCATCGCACTCGTCGAAAAGAAAGTTACACTTGATTTACTACATTACGGTAGACGATAAATTAATCTTCTCTTTTAAGACAAGTAAATATTAAATTTAGAAGTAAACTGTTTGAGCCGCGAAACCATCGTTTTCAAGGTAAATTCAATTACTAATGACTAAAGCATATAATTGACATTACAAATATATAAATCACTGTAATATTATAAAGAAATTTCATCAAAATAAATTGAATATACGCTGCATTAGTACAGCAATAATAATAAGCTACTATGAAATTTTGTTATTTAATAATTAAATAAATGACAAAAGCATTTTTTATTTCGCTGAATCAAATGAAAATATAAAAGTATCAAAATGTAATATTTTACTTTCTCAATAGTCATTGAAGAAATCTCATATTTTCTCAATAAATATCGATTATATATTTTAAATTATTAATATTGCACCTATATTGTAAAAATAGATTCTTTGAATTAACTAGTTCAATCTTCTAATAACTTAAGCAATTATACAAGTTTGCAATTATTTTGTTACGGATAATACTATTTTTAAAATATAATGAGTGTTACAAATAATTTTTTAAGTTTTACTTATTATTATCGATTGGAACAAAATAATTTCAAAAATATTAATATTACAGTATTTTAATAGCTAAAAAATTTGAATTTCATCCAAGTATATATACTTTGTTAGAATAGTTATTTATATACATATGAACAAATAAATAGCATAAATTTTAATGTATTTAACAAATATAATATAAACACAAACATAAAAAGCTGTTCAACCAATCTGTTGCCATTTATTTTTATTGAACACTAATTTCAATTTTAGCACAGTTACATATTAACCTATAAAAACAATTATGATACAATATACGAAGTGTATGACGTATAATAAAATTGAAATAGAAAAAATATTGTTGGAAAATCAATAACAATGAAATAGATCTGAGCACTTTTAATTACAATTTGGCTATGAAACATTTTATTATCATGTAAAGTGGGAGGATCGATCAATATCTACATTCAACCATTTATAAGCTATTTTATTTGTAGAGAAGTTCTGTTAAAATTTATATTCATAAAAACCAAGAAGAAAATGGTTAGATCGTTATCATTCAGAAATATATCACATTCTCCAAGTTTCTCAGCCATTTAAATTTCGTCACTTTCATAACGATACTTAATTTCTCTTAATGAAACTACATTGACGCAAAATAATAGGCTTTTTACTTTTTTTTTTTAATAAAAAAATTTCTTGCAATAATTTGTCGAATTCTTTTTAAGATAATGGTCATTTATTAATAATATTTTTTTTATATGATTAAGTTAATATGTTATTTACACACAGATTGGTTTAAAACACAATAAATATATAATTAATTCTATGAAATACTAAAAGATGCTAAACCTACTATATATAACTATAGATATATATAGTAATAGTTTTACATATCAACATCTTATTATTCTTAAGAAGAATGATCCTAAATATGTATTGTAAAATATTATCAAAATATTTCAATATTTTTTGAGGTTCCGTATAATGAAATAATAATACAATAGCAATTCACAAAAGCTTAAGGGAAATAAAATTCGACAAAAACATTAATTTCAAAATTTAAAAATCTTCGAACAAAATTTAATTGAATTTCTATATTCTATATATAGTTTACTAAATAGTATATTTATTAACATGAATATAAAATACAATTATTAAGTAAAAAAATAGTTTATTTCCTTTTATTGTAAAATAATAACAATACTAGTAATAATAATAATAATAATAACAATAATAATAATAATAATAATAACAATAAAAAATGACATTATTTTTAACAATAATATCAATAATATCAATAATAACAATAACAAAAACGATTATTTTTAATCACAATTTATGTATATCTTTTATTTACTAATATTATTTATTCACATTCTGTACAATTATATTTTCGTTTACTGTTACTTGCAATATGACAATTGTTGTTTTTAATGCTAACAATGTGCCATGTTCCGTAGAATGGCTTTAATTAGTTAGTACAAGTTTTACATTAAATATTTAAGATTTATAAATGTGCTAATTTAATATTTTGTTGTTATCATTTAAGCAATTAATTTATTGATATGAAATTTATGAAGGATATTGTATTAATTAAGAATGTCGTTACTATTCACACACTTTATATAATTCAATAATTACCAATTAAGTTCTGATAATTATATTCTCTCCTAAATTCTATGAAAATTCATGATTGACGATTTAATTATGTATGCAACATAATTAAATTAATACTTACAGTGATTATATATATGTATGTGTATTCACATTTTAACGCTTATGCCGTACAAAGTATAAATAGCAATCCCCTGACAATCATAATTGCTTTAAACACTTATAGCTTAACCGCGTCTACAGGATTCATTATACTTAGGAATTAATTTAATTCAAGGAGTATAAGCAATATACTGAAAATGAAAAACAATTTTCATGTAAAAATTTTCAAAGTAAAATAGAAAATATTCTTGCATAGTAGACGGAAGTAAATAAGCATACCTCTCGTTATTCTTTATCATTAATTTACCAAACCCATGAATTGATGAAATGGAATTGAAAACGAAAAGAAAAGGAAGTTTGAAAGGAGATGGTGTAACGCTAATAAGGATGCGCTTCTGTAGAAAGAACATAAATCGCTCGAGTACAATCACCGAATACGTCGGGTTGATCGAAATTTTATTGGCTGAATAGTATAAGGCTTAGGCGATACGCGCCGGAAATATTCGGGAAAAAGGTGCTGAGAAAATGTAATAAAAAGCCGTCTTCCGTGAGCGCATACGAGCGCAGTTGTTCTTGCAGGGTAGCGGAAGACATAGCAGTCGAATGCGCGATTTATCGGAAGTACGAGCAATGAGCTTCGTACGTACATGCACGCATACCGTCTTCAGCCAAAGAAATGGTCTCTTTGTGTCAAGGGGCGTAGCTCCAAATAAAATACTGGAGAAAAAGTATCCCTTACAATGGAACTCTCATTTATTTAACTAAACATAATTTTTAAATGACAGATAGATATTTGAAAATGTAATTCCCTTACGAGACTTTTACCAAATATAAATTTTTATAAACTTTCCGATTGCATATTGAGCATTGAAGTATTGAGTGTATGTTTCAAAACGTAATATTAAGATTTCAAGAAGTGATACAGTGTACAAGTGCTTTATATATACTTGCGGTAAGGTTGTGAAATAAGATGATAAAAGACAATGCGAAACTCTACTGACGTACTTTGACTTTATCAAAGATGATTAATTAGAGTGCGTCGAAACCACCAAAATGAGAGTTACTCTTAATTTACTATATCGGTAGGCAATAAATTAATCTGCTTTTTCAAGACGACGAAATATCAAACGCAGAATTGAAATGCTTTCTTAGCGGCTATATCGCCGCATCATGGATTAAACTATCGATTAAAGATGATTATAGGTGTATATTTTTATATATGACGTCGTGGATCCACCTCCAACAGTTTCTTTTATTAAAAGACTTCGTAATATCCAAATTGAATAATGAAGTTTAGAAAATATTTGTAAAAACTTTTAAAAGTATATAATTAAATTTTACTAATTATGTCTAAATAACAATTATAATAATCATAATTTATGATCATAAATTAATATAAATAATCATAGTTTATGATCATAAATTAATATAAATAATCATAATTTATATCTAAACAAGTTAAATATATTTTTACATTTATTTCGAATGTTATAAAATATTCATTTATTATTGATGAAAATGTTGTTCTCTAATATTTTCTTTTACTATTCATACATAATAAACTTGAATCTCGAAAGATATATTTCTAATCAGAATTATATATTTTTTTAATATAGTATTTATTAAACATTTGAATACAAAAATATGTAGGTATAACTAAAATGATAAGCTGTTACATTTATTGTTAAAATTAGTTTTAAAATAACGAATTATGATAGCCCAATTAACAATAAGCATGTATAGCTAATTTATAATAAATTAAGATTAAATAATTAATTATAAATAATAATGAATAAGATTTATAATAATGAAAACATCAAGAACGTTAGTAACTTGGCTTTGCACAAGAAAAATCGATATTCATGTTTTCTCAGCCGATGGTTTTAGTTAGATCATCATCAAAATTAATGAATTTTCTTTTTGTAAACATTATAATTTTATGAAAATTAAGAAATGTACTATTTCAATTATTTACAATTATTAAACTATCAATTTAAAACAATTATACGAAATTGATTAAATAGCGAATAAATTTCATTAATTATGCTTATTTATTAAATTTATAAATGTCTT